GTGCTTTGGAAATAGGCTTTACGGCTCAAACAGGAGCAAATTGCCAAGTCAGGCAGAAGCAGGAATAGAGGAAAGATGATGTTAAGAATGTCTCATCAGCCAAATGCTTCTAAGAATACAAATTAGAGAAGAAATCATTTGAAAACACAAAGTAGAAAGATGGATGTCATGGAGGCTGAACTAACCCCAAATAGTGTTTTCCCTCTAAAGTTTTCCATGAGATGTCAGCCACTTGTTGAGTGTTAAAATACTCTTCAGCTAGAGAATGCTGTATTTCCTCTGGCATTCCAGGCAGTTTCTAACCAGTGTTTGGAACTTGAAACTGGTGCCAAGCCTAAACACATCTGGTTGATTCCAGGCCACAAATAGCACTGGAATGCCTTCAACACCTTCCATAGCTGCCATACTTAAAAGTTTATTTCCAAAATAGAACTACAAAAAAAAAAAATTGATCAGACTGATGCTCCAGAATTAAAGTCAGAAATGTGCCATGGAGAGCAGTATGTCTCATCATAACATGCATGAAGCTGTGTGCTTATATTTCCTAATACAAACCTGAATTTCAGCAAATTGAAAACCAGCATTAGTAGATTCAACATCATTTTCATTTGCTAAGTGACATTAAGATTAGGAAACCATTCTACACACCTCAGGTATTCAGTTATATGGTGATACATAATCTCAGTTAGTAATCAAATATCTTTAATATAATGCTATTGAATGCCTCTGGGGCATGCTACTATTTAGAAAATGCTATAGGCTGCTATATGTTATTTCATCAATGATCTTTATCTTACTGTAACGTCCAATATAAATCAAGTGATAAGACATGGTAAAGCACAACATTAGAGTAGGAAGAAGTTATTTACCTGTAAGAGGGAAAATCAGAAAGGTAGCTGTTGGTGGCTACTCATTGTTATTGGGAATAAAGAAGATTCAAGTAATCTGCTTCAAGGCAGCTTATAGTCTGAAGAAAAAAAGTGTAATTCAAACCACGCAAGAACCACTCCTTAACTTTTGGAAAAGTTGTTTTAAATGAGGTAAACTAGATAACAGAGAAGAAAATTTCAATAAAGTGCCAAGAGTTTGGAAAGATAGTGTGCTTTTCCATTTCACAAGACCACCGGGTGGGAAGTTAATTTAAAAGGAAGCAGAAGTGCATTTGGGAAAAAGACAGAGGTTTTGCCTTCCAGAAAAATCTCAAGTTGCTGTATATGAATTTGCTCTCTCTTGTGTGTACTTGGACCTTTAAAAAAATGCTATCAGGAGCTAGGATAAGATGTTTCTGACAGTGGCAGTTCATTCACAGAGGCAGGGTGGTGCGGTGCTAGATAAGGAAGATGGGTTCTAGAGTCTGATTTCCTGGGTTCAAACCCATCTTTTATGACCAGCTGTGCAGTCTCAGGCATGTTAACCTCTCCAGGGATCAGGGTCTTTGTCAGTAAAACGGAAATTATTTGGGGACCTAACTTGTAGACTGGGCATAAGGAGTAAAGGAGGCAATGTAGGTAAAGTGCTTAGCACAAGGATTGCACATAGTAAGCACTCGATGAATGTTTCATATTTTTATTTGTATTTATGAATACATGTTCAATAATTTCCCAAGTCATAAGAAAGATGCATGTATCAGGAGCAGAGTACATGGATGAAATGAATCTGAATGGAGAGAAGAGAAATTGCAGATAAAAACTTTCCTGGTTCTTTAGTTGCTACAGCACGCGTGGGCAGAACTGTCCTACCACCTCCCTAAATGTCTCAGCAGCTCAAGAGCACAAAAATGTCTATCAGGTAACTACGTGGATCAGTGTGTGAATAACTTTGAATGAACATCACAGTTGATGTGGCTTTCTCTTTTCCAAAGGAACAAAACACAGAGCAGCATCCTGAGAGAGAAGGAGCATTCTCAAGGACAAGTTCAAGGCCTGTTAGAAATGCCTGGGGGATGCCCACTGACCTGCAGTCTAAGATACAGATATTCGATGGCTACCGGCAAGTAATTTTCAGGGAATTCCTTTGATAATAAATAATATGCTTATATTGAAATACATTAATTCTACACTATGAACTGACAACCTAAAAGAATAAAATGTTCAGCTATTATGCCATACAAAGGGCAGAACTGGGAAGCAGGAGTGTTGACCTATGCCTTGCACTAAATATTCTACTCATCTCCAGAAATTTCACTGGTAAGCATTTAATAAATTCAATTTAAATAGGAACTTACTTCATCATTTATCTCTTTTTAACTTGTTTGATCGGTTTACCTGATTCAAATCAAGATGTCCTGGAATTAAATTTCCACATGAATAAGATTCAGAAAAAAACATCCAAACTGATACTGAGTGAGTCAAAACTTTTTCAGGGTAAGATTTTTTTCTCTAATATCAAGATTCATGATTCACCTGACAGCTAGAATGATAACTGAAGTTAATAAATGAAAGGTTTGCGGTATGAAAAATATTACCATGTAACTGAGAAACAAAATTGGCTGGTAATTTATTTGAAACTCTGACTTCACTCAAAAGTAGAAACATTTTTATTACTTTTCTAAATAAAGTGGGTTTAAGAGCACCTACTGCAATGTCTCAATAGAGAAAGTACTCAATAAATGTCAGATTTAAATTTTAGTGGAATATAAGTGAGTGCTTTACCGTGCCTAACAGGAATTTCAGATTTTTCATTTCACAGTCCTGTTTGTGACAATTAATCCTACTGAAATCAACATTTATGTAGTGTTTCCTTCCTCTGTCCCAGTCCCAGTTCCCAGGAAAAGCAAGCAATCAATGAGCTATTGGTAAGGAGAATTAAGCATTATATCTTTGGTGTCTGCCTAGGAGATAAACAGACCAGGGTAAAAGAGCACAGGATCTTGAGAATAAGTAGCTCATAATTTCCTTCTTAATTTATTCTATATGTTAAATTGTAGACAGATGTAACAAACACACTTTATCAATGACATTCATAATCAACACATAATCAAATGACCATTCAACTTCATTTCCCAACCTTAGAATCAATCAACCCAAAGATTGTTCTCACTTATAATTTTCATATTAACACATTCTCAAAGTATTACTAGTGCTTAATATAAACAAATAAAAGGCTTGTGGGGCCCAATTAGGGAAGGAAAATGAACTAAATTTCCACATATATCGTACTAACAGAAAATTCATGAAGAACCTCACTTTGATGGAACCTAATAACTGACAGTAGTAATGTCATGAGATATTTGGTCAGGAGACCAAAAAGTTAACACACTGGAAACTTGACAAGCTGGGAAGCCAACAGGAGGATAATTAATCACATGTTTAGAGAAACCATTGGATGGTTAGCATCTTGTTGCTAGGCAATGTTTCTAGGCAGCTGATCTCACATCTTAAAGGACCAGAATATTTTATCTTTTTTTAGTACAGTATATTTTTCAAATTGATTATGCATATTTGCATTTGTCAACTTTGGGGTCTCTTAACTATCTATACACCTTGAAGTTTATGGACTAATTTATAAGAAATAAAGATACTGACTGGATGTCAATATGTATGACAGCCCTCACTAAAATAAAAGTTTTACACTCACCATGTAGTAAACGGTAGAGTTTGCATATGGTCATATAATAAAACCAATCAGAGAGGGAAAGATGCCTTCAATGATGTGCCTATTGTAGTTGAATAATGAATACAAAATATATTTGAGGTTGATTAAGATATTAAAGTAAATTTAGGTATGAAAATATCTTTAATCTATAATACAAAAATAGGACTTGGTACTAAAGAAAACATCTATTGATATCTACCATAAAAGTCAAATGTCAGGGACTTCCCTGGTGGCGCAGTGGTTAAGAATCCATCTGCCAATGCAGGGGACGCGGGTTCGAGCCCTGGTCCGGGAGGATCCCACATGCCACAGAGCAACTAAGCGCGTGCGCCACAACTACTGAGCCTGCGCTTTAGAGCCCACGAGCCACAACTACTGAAGCCTGCGTGCCTAGAGCCCGTGCTCCGCGACAGGAGAAGCCACCGCAATGAGAAGCCCGCGCACCGCAACGAAGAGTAGCCCCGGCTCGACCGCAACCAGAGAAGGCCTGCGCGCAGCAACAAAGACCCAACGCAGCCAAAAATAAAAACAAATAAATTTTTTAAAAAAAGACAAATGTAAGAAAATTGTGACATTTCAAACATTGAATTTTACCATACAAGTGTAAAAACTATTGGGATTTGCTATTCAAATTAGGTTGCTTTAAAAGTATCATTAGTTGAACTTTTGAAATCATAGCAATTAGTATCAGACAATTGAAGAAAAAGAAAACTGGGTTGGTTGGAATAAGAGCGCTGTTATTAATCAACCTTGTTCTTTTTACAAATACCCTCAACACTTAACGTTGTAGGACTCACCCAACTTTCCCTGACCCTCAGGTGATTGTGGTCACTTGTACTGCCTCCCTCACATGCCCAGTGAGGAATAAGGGAGAGTTATCAGTACAAAGGCTTCCCAAGGATGGTTTTCAGTCACTAAAAAGGGTGCTACGTATTTAGACAAACTGCGGCAGGAGGTATTCACATTCCCTTTTCTTCTTTTTTCTTGTTCTTTTTTGCCTCTTCATTACTTTTCCCCAAAGAGCATTAATGTTAGGTTAATTTTTTCCTCTATGTTAAAAACACTTTTTCAAGGCTCATTTTATTTTATTTTTTGGCTGTGCTGCGAGGTATGTGGAACCCTAATGCCCTGACCAGGGATCGAACCCGCGCCCCCTGCATTGGAAGGGCGGAGTCTTAATCACTGGACTGCCAGGGAAGTCCCTATATTAAAATGTTTGATACTAGACATCTTGGTTAAAATGAGAATTTTCCTATAATTTCCGCCCATCAGTATTTTGGTTGAGATCCTACATTCTTTCTTTCCCCACTTAGGGCCAGTACAGCATGCCAAATTTCTACTGGAGAAAAGCTGGAGATGGGTTAAGAACAGGGATGAAGCCGAGTTACTCTGTGGTTAAGCATGGAAGGAGGGGGAGGGAGGGAACACAGGCGTAGCTCCAGCACACAGTTGCAGATCAGATCTTGGATTGTGGGAACTAATATTGCTTCACCTTATGGCACTTCAGTTTTTCTTTGAAAAATTAACCCATTACTTCTCTCCTTATGGGGAAGAATCAGGCTGCTATCTTGTCTATGCTTCCTAATGAGGAATGCATGAATTGGAAAGAAACTATTTAAATTTAGAAAGTTGTATTTTAGTCTTCCAAATATTAGTAATTTCAGTAGCTCATTTGGCCTATTATCCACTTTATGTCTTTTCTTTCACGGTCCTAACCCTTTTAGTTTATTCAAAACATGGCCAACTTATGAAAACCAAACAGAATCACCCCCAAATCGTGGCTTCCTTGATGTTTCGATGATGAAACGAATACAGCATTGACTGAATTTTTTATTGTTAAATTTTTCCATATACAGGTTCATCACAGCTTAAGAATTTGAAGATATTTTCAATAGCTGGCTTGTGTCATGTCATTTCATTGCCCTGGCCATTTAAATATATCTTTGACATGATTTGTGAATTTGGTGTAAGACTAACTCAAAAAATATAAGACAAGCACACTGATAAACACATGAATGATCCAATAAACAGGCAACGAAAAAGTCCCACTGAGCTAGGCAAAAGCATTATTTCTTCCTTGTTGAAGGTATCAGCATATGCTACATCTTATGTTGCACAAGTGTACTCATTAAATATTATGAAATGTACAGCAGGCCGGGAAGCTCTAACTAGCTAGTCAAAGTCACTCATACCTGTGTGTTCATATTTATGTCGCAGAAGGGAACTGCTTTTCTGGAATGTCTTGTCACATAAGTCACATGCATACATGCCACTCTCTGTCTTCTTGATCTTCTTTCGAGACAGACAGGAGTCGGAGTCTGTCATGTCATCTAGGCCTGACATGTAGTCTTGTGCTCCATCAAGCAATTCTCCCTGTGATATAATCACATAGTTCAACACAGTTGCTTCTCTTTGTACCAAACAACTTCGCATCGGCTGACATTTGGAGAACCTCAGAGGTGCTCGCGACGAATCGATCTAGTTTTTAAAAACTATTACTTTCCACAAACAATATATGAGGTTTCACATTTCAACAAAAATATAAACCTTCTCTGCCCTAGGTGGTAGAGCTTGCTGTTTTTCAGGGATAGAAAATGGTCAACTCTGAAGGTGAGAAAAACATAAACTCCCCCAAATTCCTGAATTTTCTTCCTATCAGGAAATACCTGTGAGTGAGAATTAAACATCAGAATTTGTGTATTTTCCAGTGTGCTTAACTTTAGGAATGATCCATAGCTGTGGAAACCCCATTTTAATTGAATTTTATATTTAGGTACAAAATGTTATTATTATGCAATCTATTTAAATGTATGTCTACCAACTAAAGGCCTCAAGCTATATTTTTATATTTAATTTTCTAATTTGAAATAGGGAATATTAATAACACTTTTTTATCAATGTTCTATCTATGTTAAAACAGCCTTCAGCACTGAGCAATAATGAATGTGGATCAGTAAATTATTAAATTTCTTGATATTTATTTTGTCTTGATCCAAAGGAGTGCAAACTTGCATGATAACATACATTTCCATTTGCTAGCCCACAGTTCGGTTTTCTTAGACTACGTTTGCACTAATTAATACTAGAGAAGATTAAATAGGCTTAAATACATTTACAAAGAGGGCAGATGTACTGTAAATTGGAATACCGGAACAGCTGTTACAGAGGTGCCCTGCTACTTTCGCTCCTATTTTGCAAACAGGGATTATACTCCATGATGTTAGAACATACCTGCTTTTGTATTTGAAAAACCATAAATTATTTACTAGCTTGAAACCTACAAAAGAAATCATGTGGAATGTACAAAATACTTTTAAAATGCCCTTCCAAATAAACTATAAAATGAAGTGAACATCAAATTTATACATGCATTATTGCAAATTGTGAGCGTCTCTAAAAGTATGTGACTGTCATAAATGTTAACTTTTAGCATCTATGTAAATCCTACCAAATATTCATATCAATGTATAATTCTGAAAGCAGATGGATCAATCCAAATAAATCTCAAAAATAAATATTAAGTTCTTTATCTTTCTTAAGGCAAAAGTGCTTACGTAGCACAGTGTTCCACTGTTTCTCCGTTTATTTGTGTAGCTCACTCAGTTTTAGATTCAAGTTCAAACCCACTCTTCTATTTCTGCTGAGAACACAGCGCTAGATTTTTTAACTAAGATTTTTTTCCTATATACACATAAACGATATCATTTTCACCTCCTCTCTTTGAAGCAAAAAGATATGTCTCATTACCTGGAATCCTGGTTTTCGCTGGTACTTTCTCCTTTGCTGCATATCAGCAAAAGTAGCTGCTCCAGTTGGGTAAGTATAGGCCATATGTGGTAGAAAGCTCATCTGGTCCAGTCCTGGGTATGGTCGTAGCCCAGGGATACTAGTCTGGACTGGTGGCATGAAAGTGGCAGGAGGAAATGCACTTTGTGGAGGAAGAGCTGTGTATAGAGGTTTGGCACTAAATGGGTTCATGCCGAACACTGGGTTAGCGCTTTTGTTGTCCAGATTATTTGAATTTGAAAACTCCTTCTTGATAAACGTCAAGTTCAGAGGCTCATCTGAGTTTTCAGATGACGAAGAAACACTGTTATGGTCTAAATTTATGCTGCCAACTTTTGTTTTGTTCTTTGTGGCTATAATACTTTTGGGTTCTTTCATCTGTTTTGGTAATGACAAGTCCAAAGGCTCAGCCTGGAGCTCCTCAGAAGAGAAGCTGTTTGGAGTGTAAGAACTACTGTGGGAGTTTTTAGAAGATGTGGAGGAAAGATTTAAGGGAGAAGGAGTATTACTCCTGGAGTGGTCCAATTTTTCAACTGGTTTAATGTTGGTAAAATGGGAAGGTTTTGTTAGCCTGAGAGGAGGATCGCAATTCGTAACACTGTTGTGGAGTTCTGCTATAGATGGCGATGTGATGGAGTCCATAGGTTTTACGGGAGACCTGGGTAATAAAGAGTCTTTTGTGGGAGGATTACTGTTGGGGGCTAACGGCTTGGAGTTCCTTTCCAGTGATGGTGACCTGGAATTTGAGTACTGGTAGACTTTTCGTTGCTCAAACCATTCCTTCACAAATTCCTGAGGAAGGCCCACAGCAATAGAAATTTTCAGCAGTTCATCAGAGTTGGGCTCCATGTTCATAGCATAATATGCTTTAAGTACAGACATGTGGTCCTTGTACGGGTTAATGGGGCTTGTCATTCCTTTCTCAGAAAGTACAGATGACAAGAGGAGGGCTTTATTATCAACAAAAACTCCAGCTTTGTTGGGGACTATGTTTTCATGGGGTTGTAGGACTGCCTTGATCTCTTCATTCATCTTACAAAGGTAACGTTCATGCTGATGCAAAGGAATGGGGCCAGGAAAACTTTCTTTACAGAACTGGCAGGAGAATGGAGTGGATATGTTGTGGTTCTCAATCATTTTGTCATCAGTGACCAAATCTATTAAAGTACGTAGCTTCTCTTTCTTTATGTTACTGATCTGTCTCCTTGAGTCAGTAGTCAAGCTCTGGAGGCAAGCTTTGGCTTCATTGACTTTTTCTAACGTGTAGTCGATAATACTTTTAGTGGCACCATTATGACTCACTACTGGAAGACCTACGGGTGGAATATTAGGAGAAGTAACTCCTTGTTCCTCAGGTTGAGAGCATGGATCCTTCATGTGATAACCTTTCAACTTGGAAATTTCTTCAGCCTTGCAGTCCATTTTTTGCCTGGAAACTGTGTTGTCCACAATCTGTAGAACCTTCTGTACCTCACTTAAATTACTATTCATTGTGTGAAATCCAAGTAAAGGGGCTTCCATCCCTACACCTAAGTGCTGCATTGGGCTCTGAGCAGATGGATGAACTCCTAAAGGGCTGGTGGCTCCAAGGGCACCATTCATAAAGGGACTAGTGCCACTAAACCCGTGTGTGGCCATAAGAACTTTATTATAGTCATTGAAGTCTAGTGGTTCTGTTTTAATTTTAAGTAAGCCTGTTGGTTCAGACATACTAAGTGGTTTTCCATTCTCCAATTTGTTTCTTAACTGGGTAATGGCTGAATTAGTAGGAGAAGAAGAAACAGAATTAGGGGAAGAGCCTGTCTTGATATTGTTTCTCATCCGGCCATTTACAGAGATTAAGCCAATACATTTCTTGCTGCTGATGTGTGAACTGTAGGAACCAGAGTGGGAGAAACGTTTCTTGCAGTTGGGGCACTCGTACGGCTTTTCACCTAAAATGACAATTAAAATTGACGTTACATTTTTTTGATTGGGTAACGATTGCAGTTGTCTACCAAGGCAAGAATCTGTGCAACCAAAGGAAAGGAACACAATGGGGCACCTCTACGTTCTTGGTGGTTAGATTAGAATTATGTGGCTCTCACTGTTTCAGGGCTTTATCTACCCTGGAAGGACATAATTCAAGATGTTAGCAGTGGAAGGTGAGGGCTATCTGTGCCTTTTTCAGCCAAGATCCCAAATCTGGTCTTGCCATCGGCGGCCTCCTATTTAAACAGAGTGTCAGATTAATGTGTGGTCAATAGCACGATAAAGATGTCACAGTATTCAAAGGGAAGTGTAGCCATGGCTTTAATCAACTCTGTGAAGATTCCATTGACTCTACCAATCCAACTAGTCCTTTGAATAGCATCCAATTTGGTAATAAAATGCTTGGCAGAGCTATCAAAATAGTTATAAAGAAGAAATCTCAGTGGTAGGTTGTTGTTCTGTAATATACAGCTCTCAGGAATCAAGGAACACTTATCATACAAAAGCTCTTTTCCAAAATTCTCCCACATTCTTTCAAGGTTGGGTATCAAAAATGAATATCCTTCAGAATTTGCCAGCTGAGTTTCTTCAGGTCAAAACATTTAATCTGTAGAAGAGTTTTTAAAAGGACAAAAAGGAGCCTCTAGATTTCACAATAAATCAAAGCATTTGCAATTTTCAAGAAGTATAAGCACCCCTCTTCTCATTAGTAGTGCTACTGGTGGTACCATAAGTCTCACGATGACAAAGCAGGTGCACATAGCTTATGACATAAATGGGTAGATCCAAAAAACTACATACAGGATTGTGTAAATTTTACACAATCTTTAAAAATGCCCCTAATGAAACAAAATGCAAATGTAAGCACCAGCCCCTCTGTTACTCACCACTGTGAATTCGCAGGTGTTCTTTCAGATGGTGTTTATATTTGAAGGCCTTGCCGCACTCTGTGCATTTGAACTTGCGATTACCTGCTCCTTGGGTCAGCATTTGGTGCTATAAAAGGAGGAAGACTGACATCAGTTTTGTGCAGGAGGAACAAAGGAAATTTGTTACAAATATTTTTAAAAGGCCTCTATTTTCAGACAGGCCAAAAGGTTTGAGTGCATGTTTATTTATTTGCCCAGCCTTTCAGAGTTGCAATAAAAGTGATAATGTTGGCAATAAAATTGGAACAAATAAAAAAAAAAGTGCTTTCACATGCGCATCCAACACTTGCTTTAGGATTATCTCTGTAGTCTCTTTTCCAGAATGTTTCTTTGAGCCGTTACAGATGAGAAAGCATCATTGCAAAGATGTTTGTGGTTCTCTGTGTTTACTGCAAATTCTAAAATCTGAAGATTCCCTATTGGAATGCAACTGTTTTGTCAAGGAAAAAAATTAATATTATCCTCAAAATCCTAAATAGTCTCCCCAAAAATCTCCCCACACAAATAACTCATTTTATCATATTTTCTGTATTGAGGTAAAAGTATATCTTATAATGAAGCAATACCAGTTTTAAAGAAGGAAAAAAAGCCCCACACACATAAATTAAAAAATCCTTGACTATAACTATTTCATTACATGATAAGCATGTTTAAATACCCCATTCACTGTGCTAGTAGCAAATATAAACTCTGTTTTTCCTGAGATGTTGCATGTAAGATCTGACTCATTATCAAATGTAACAGACAACATCTTGGGTTAGAGCTGCTTGAGCAGTTTTATCACAGGCCAGTAGGAAAGACTTCACCGACTTGTCATTTTCCTTTTTAGTAGTGTGCTAGGGAGTAGGGATGAAAAAGACAAAAAGTTTGCTGAAAAGACAAGTTAAAAGCAGCAAAGATATAATCAAACACAGCTGACCTTTTTGAACAAGGGAACAAAAGCACTGTGACTTAGAATTCTGAAAAAAAAAGAAAAAAGGAAAGAAAGAAATACAGTCATCCACTCTGGATGCTCAAGGTAGGAGGCCAGCCTTTTTCAAGCAGCAATGACACAAAAGCCTTTTGCAAAAAGACAGCACAGAAACGGTATGACAACTGCTAGGGTGTGCTGAATCTTCCCACATTCCTAGTGAGACAGATGGTGTTACATGGGACACAGGGAGGTTTGTTCAAACAGCAGCAACCTTCAAAGATCAAGCAGAGCCCAGCCCGCCGAGCGCCATTGAGGGACCAGCGCTCATATGTTGCTGAGTTGCATAAACAAACAGCAACAGCTGCTTTGTCTCCCCCCACAGTCCTCAGAGGACTACTATAAACTTTAGTTGTGCCACTGTTAATATGATACAATCATTTTAATTTACTAATTGTAAATGCCATGAGCAAATGAGGGGACTTTTCAACACCAAAGCTACCATTCATAATGCGCCAACACAATCACACTTCTGCATGTGAAATTTAAAGCAGTTATGCTAGATAAATATCTAGGCTTGGTTTTTTTTTCCTAGAGTTTTTGTGCATATAAGCAAGGGGAGAGAAGCTGTTACATAAGTGTAACTATGCAAGCATAGTTTTTGTAACTGAACTTGGAAAAACATTCAGGTGACAAGTTCAATCAGATATAAATGAAATGATTTACATGAGCTGTTTTCTTAAAATAGTAAAATTCCATAATATAGTATCATCGCCATTGCTGGATCATGTTTGCTTATTCTCATTTTCCTCATTCAAAGAAAATAAAGCCCATAAGAAAGAAACATAAGAATTTTAGACAATATCCTGTTCGATAATTTTAAAAACAGATATGGTGTCAAGGTTTACGGGTGATTCCAGATCTGTTGGACCAGTTATTGGGACTTAAGGCACACCATTTCTGTTACCATATGAACACCTCATAATATCAATCTGCAGTCAATTCTCCCAGGAGGACAGAAAGAGCAGTTTTGCTAAAACATTTAAGGGACACTATGAATCAATCCTATTCAATCATTTTAAGGATTTAAGATGCTATGCTGTCTAAGACAGAGTTTTTATTTTTAACACAAGTAAGCCGAAAGAGGCAGAGCAATTTTAACATTTAGTAACAAATATGCATATCAGAAAGGGATCATTTTTATTGCATATCCAACATTTTAGTATTAATCCAGTTTATTTTATATAGATATGCATATATATTAGAGGCTTTCTTGATTTTCTTTAAAACACTTAATGAAATTTCATAAACTAGGAGCAGCTTGTAAAAATAGTCTAAGTAATTGAAGATGTTATGTGACAAATGAAAAAATGCACACTTCTTTTACTATGACTTAGATCTCATATGAAAAAAGAATCTAAGTAAAACTAGGTGAAAAATGGAATTAAAATTGCTGAGATGTTTAATAATGTATAATTAAAAAGCTACAATTTCATTCACTTTTTGTGGAACATAAAAATGAAACTAAAGTGCAAATAAAATTTCTAAATTAGAAATTAACACACTCATTCGATCGTGAACATAAGACTATTAAATCATATTAGAAGAGACCATCAAAAAATCATTTAGACCTCAATTAAAGCTATTACCATTAAAAGATCTGCATCTTCAAAATGCCATGAAAAATTAATAATGATTGCCAATCAAAGCAATATCGTTTCTCTAAGGGGTTATTATAGAAAGAAATCACTTAAAACAAACCCCCCACCTGATCTGTCCCTGGCTTGTGCGTCACCATATGCCGCTCGAGCTGGGTGCGGTAGGCAAACGTGTAGCTACACAGAGGGCAGGAAAAGTTCTCTTCATTCTTCTCGTGGCGGTACTTGATGTGCTCCTTCAGTGATGTCAAGCGCTTGTAGCCCCGGTCGCAGTAGGGGCAGGTCAGCAGTTGGGCAAAAGCATCTGGAGTTCCAGGTGGCAGGTCTGTAGCCGAGAGATGAGAGGGAGAGAAGCAGGCCAAAAGGTCAGTAAATCAATGGCAGCTAATGGGCTGACTGCCCGGGATGGTATGACAGGAATCACTGCAATCTGCTCCACGAGAGTGCCATAGGCGCACGCGGCCTCCACGCACACCAGTCCCCTTGCACACCCAGGGCAGACTTGTCGAAATCAGCTCTCACTGTGCTGGAAAATTAATTAATTACTGGAGCATTTGGGGGGAAATTTAAACAGCTGATAAATGAGGAGATTCTCTTTAGGTGACTGACAGTTCGTAGTAAACCTTTAGTCACATATGACTCAGGGAGTCATGGGGTGAAGGAGCTTTTCAGGTGTCGGTAAAGAAGAACAAAGGTTAGGGTCAGTATCTCTAAACTTTTTTGTTTTCCTAAAAAGTGAAATATTTTGGAAAGATAGGAATCAATGTAGATATTTTTATCTCTTAGAAATAGGCTCTAATTGTTCTGGTTCTTTATTGGATGTACAGATGACACAAATTTGCTGACAAAAAAAATTTCACAATACCCTAAAATTACAGTTCTAATCTTTGCTCATGAAATTCCATGCCTCTGCAGCTGTTCTTCAAATTTTAAGGTAAACACCCAGGCATGTAGTGCATTTGTAATTGTAACAGCTGCAGAGGTCAGCGTCGTGGCTAAAAATGAATTACAGCCTCACCATTTTCTTCCTGCCCATTGGCCTCTGGCGTGCCAAGGCGAGACAGCTCCTCAGGGGCTTCTGGGTAAATGATGGCTGTGTCACTGCGCTGAAGGTACTCTTCGATGCTGACTGCATGGCCATCGCGTTCCTCCAGTTTTCTTTTGGCAAAGTATTCCTCAAAGTCTGATGTGCAATTTGCATTCTTAACTGAAATGGTAAAAAGGAGAAGAAATGTCTTTTCAGGGCCTTCTTCCTAGGAGCCTCGGTCTGCCTACATCATTGTTAGTAAGACACATAGACTTGCAAAAAGGTTACAAATACCTAGTTTATTTGTAGGAAGTGTTGCAGATGACCAGTTATTGACTGAATGCTTATTCTCATAATATATGCAAAAAAAGAGGACACTTTGCTTTAAGTTAAATAAGCATATTTTATTTTCCTCTTCTTGGAATACTAGTCTGCATGCTTCACAAAGAATCAAAGAAATTTTTTAATGTTTTTCAGGGAAAATTTAAAAAAAAACAGAACTATATTCTCAGATCCATAAACATGAGAGATAATATGAACTCAAAGCTACTTTAGTAGTCTATATAAAACTTCCTTTTCTTTTAAGAAAGGTATAATTAATTTTTTATAGTCCACTACACTTAATGTTCCTAACCACGTATACATCCTGTTGCTAAATGTTCAGTCTCTGAACATCACAGACCACCAGGACTACCCAGTCCGAGAGAGATGAGAAAGGACGGATATTCCTAGAGAGATAATAATGGGACTTTGTTAAAAAATCAGGGAATGTGGGAGTTTATCTTTCCTTAAAATTTCAATGTTTAGCTCAGTATTTTAAAGCTGCTGAAAATAAAATAAAGCTCACACTGATAGAAATAAAAAAGTAACAGACGGAGTTAAGAAACTGGCTATGCTGCAGTGTGATTTTGATATGATTTTTAACTTTTGTAATTATGACTCTATTCCCATGACATGAATGATAGTTGTAAATCAACTTTAGCAACTCTTGTCCCAAGACTGTATATTAGAAACCACTAGCTATGTTTCTGAAATAAGTTGTGGCATTAAACATCCTAAGTAGAAACTTATGCATAAGACAGTGTTGGGAAAGTGGCTGCCACATTATTTTCTACCAGAAGTAAGTGAAGAAAAGTCTTTTGCTAGTATAATTAATGGTGGGGCCCTACTTTCATAGTTTTTGAGAACAGTTAACCTTGATTCCACTATATTCTTCATCTCACCTTCTCTGTCATAAAAGATATTATAGTACTTGCCATCCTAATTCTCCCTGGCAATTTGTGGCAGGGTGTTGTTCAAGCAAGCCAGTCAATTTTTATTTTTGGCTTTCACTGTTATGAACTGTTATGAGAAGAACAGAAAGTGGAACCTTCCGTTAATCAACAAGTATTTACTGAATGCCTGGTATGAGATAGGCATCATGCCTTGTTTGGATAAGCAAAAAACAGATCCAGCCTCATTCTTTAGGAAGCCATGAGAATGATCAATACAACTGATATTGTCTCAAAAAGTAGATATAATATTACAAACTCAAATAAGTGTTATGAAAGAAAGCTGTACGGTTGTATTACAGAAGTAACAGGGGGACCTGACGGGGACCTGATGGAGTGTGGAAGATCAGGAAAGCCTTAACTGAGAAGCACGAAGTTAACTAACTTTAGAAGCTGGGGTACAGCAGTGGTGACTAGAAAGAAAATGGAGCATTTCGGGATCTGAAAGGACATTGCTAGAGTGTGGAGAGAAAGGGAAGCAGTGTGATGCAAGGGTGAAGGGGAAGGTAGGGACTAGACCCTGCAGCGTGTGCTAGCCCTGTTAAGGATTTGAGCTTTCTTCTAAGAGAAACAGGAAGCCATTGAAGGGTATTAAGCAGAGAGGATGGTTGGATGAAATTGTAGATTACCTGCATTTTAATATGACAACTCTGGCTACAGTATGATAGGGAATGCAGGAAGAGAAAAGTAGATTCTGGGAAACCAGTTAGGAGTCTCTTGCCATTGATTAGGCAAATGATAAAAGTTAAAGAATTGGTGATGGAGACTATAAGAAGTGGCTGGATTTGAGAGATACTTAAAAAGTAAGATTGTTAGATTTGGAGAGAGATTGGGTGAGCCAAGGAGGGAAAGGCTAAGACCCTCCCTTAGGTTCAGGCTTTTTGAATTTGATGGATGGTAAGAGACATTCACCACACCAGGAAGCATGGGAATTCTAAAAAGATTTGAAAGTATGAATGAATACATTGGATCAAATAAAATAAAGCTGGGGAGCATTACACTTTGTAGACTATTAAACTAAGTGCTAACTCTCTGAATATTGTGATCTCAAGCTTTTCTCTTTTGCCATTTCAACTTCTGTTAATTTTAAGAAGAGCAATGGTCTGATTCCAAGATCTGTACTTCCTTCAAATGTAGGTTTGGAATGTGGAATAGTGGATTAAGATTTTATATCTTGAAATTTTGCTTAAGTCTTTTCTTAGAAGAATATGGACATTGATTAGGATCACTTTCCCTCTGGTCTGTTCATGTTGTCATGGGTGTTTTCCAAAGGATACTTATTGGTGGTGATTGTGATGGTGTCATTTAACTTGCGCCATTAAGTCACTATGGGGTATGAAGGAATTGCCAGCTTGCACAAAATATTTGTTCATTATTTTGGATCATCAAAATGACTTCAGTTCTATCAAAAGTCACCTTTTGTTTTAAGCGCAAGAAAAGATAAAGGGGACAAAACATGTGGGTCCAAGATGAAGCTTTTTTGAACAACTTCACTGATCTGACCAGGGACTGACTTCTTTTTCAGCACTGTGGCAGTAGAAAGTAAGGTAATAGTAACTTTCTAAATCCAGATCTACTTGAACATTGTCAAATGTTTAAGACACAATTTAAGTTTTTCAAGAACACTGTCCCACTTGAAGATCCTGAGTGTAATCTAGTAAACATGGATGGATGTACATTTAATATCATGCTAATTTTATCTTGATATTTCAGCAAGTATCTGAATTATCTGGCTATCTTTGCATGAATTTTCATTTGCATATGAATGTTTCCATCAGAAATGTAATCAAATGCAAATTCAATTGGATTTGCATTAATAGCCTTTCGGCTTAAAAGGGAGGAAAATTCTGATTTTTCTGGATAGGCAAACTAAACTGCATCTAGATAACACTATTGGTATTTGGAGAAGCAATTCACTCGCTAGATCAGATCTGGCCGTACTAGATTTCTATGTCAAGTGTGATAGGGACAAAAGATATCAAATCATGTGCTCTCATTAAGGATCATCTTTGTGGCCTGAGCATCGAATATATTGCCTAGAAATTAGTAGGCACTCAAGAATCATTTATGGAATGAATGTGGAATAAATTATGTCCTTAACACTGATCTTGGTGCAGAAGTCTTCTAGTAAAAGGAAGCATAAGACAAGACACCTACAGTTGAGCTAGGAACTCAGACCTACTATTCAAGTAACTGTAGAACAATTACATGATAAACTGTGTATTCGTGATCATAAATACTTGCAAGAGTTTGATAGGGCTCAGATGAGTATTCAAAAAGGGTTTCACGAAGAAACCTAAACATTTAAATCTATTTGCTCTATCAAGATTTTTTTTTTCACGTGGTATAGATATGCTATTAGTTATAAATCTCAATATCTACAGTCACTTAAGTGGGCTAGAATCTAGCCTTCTATGAACTAGGTATGACCATCATGGATATAATGTGTTTTTCCCTGGTGTTGCTATGGATACTAGTAATATATGGTTTTTTTCTGCCCAGTACCATGACATTCTCTTTTGCCTGGGATGGCTCTCCACTGTCCCTATTGCCAAACCTTATGGTACCCAAGGCAGCTGCCATGTTGTTGCATGATCCTGTCCCCTAGTTACAGTGGATTTATCTGCACCTGAAGTGAAGCAATCTTAGACCTCCCTCCTCCAGGTCAAACCGTTGACTGGTCCAGTGGTAGCCAATTAATCCAACTGAGTTCAGTCAATCCCTTCCCCCTGATTTTAGAACATGGGTCCAAAGAGATCACCAAGGCAGATTTTTTTTTCCAAGCGACTGCAGCTATAGGATGTAGAATGAAAGAACTGATAAATCCCATGTAGAATAAGAAGATTTATGAAGAGAGAAAATGAGCAGATATACAGAGAAAAGCAGAGACAAAATGGCAAGTCCTGACAGTACTTTTCTAGCTACACTTGTTCCTGAGGCCAAGCAGCACCTGCGTCCTTCCAGAGAGCAGAAAAATTCCCTTTTCTACTTTAGGCTATGTTGTGTCTCAATGTCCCAGACTCCAAATCGCCCTAACTGTTACAATTCTAGAACAAATGATGGAATTAAATTTTTGTTACTCTCAAAATTGTTGGGAAGCATAATGTTTTGATTCTATTTGGAAGTCTGCATTTTTGGCTTTTACAAAGATTTTGTAATACTGTATAGTGGACTCAGAGATGAGGTAGAAAATTTGCTAGAAAGTTATAAAATTCTTCACTGCATTTTTCTAGTGTAAAATAAACCTTCTTTTTTTTTCTTTTTTTTTTTCCCCCCTTTCTCTTCACTCCTTGGTATCCTTGGAAGAATTGCCAAAACACACTGACAAAGTATATTTGCATGGTATTTATGATCAAACCATAGCAAAAATTCACAAGAAACCTCAAATAATTTCTTCCCACACCTTCTCCAGAGATTTTGCATTTAGTCCTAAAATTTACCCTAGTGTCTTGCAAATATCTCAACCTTCCCTAAGGTCAGGTAAACTTTCCTCTATCCAAAAACAGAACTTCATTAATTAAAAATGTTTCCTCATAGCCAAGTGTATTTTAATATTGTTAGGGTAAATTTCTAGGTCCCTTAAGTCAGAACAGCCTCAAATTTCTTGTAAATATGTTGGTCACGCTTACTAATTAATAATACTTTCATATATACCCTTATGTCTATCTTAGATATTGATATTTTTGGATAGATAATGATGACTATCAATATGGACTGACTTTTCAAGTTATTGCCTAAAAACAAGCAATGTTAACATCTTTAAAGAAAACCCCTAGGGTTTCCCTGGTGGCGCAGTGGTTGAGAGTCTGCCTGCCGATGCAGGGGACATGAGTTCGTGTCCTGGCCCGGGAAGATCCCACACGCCGCGGAGCGGCTGGGCCCGTGAGCCATGGCCGCTGAGCCTGCATG